ACACGCCCTCCCCTGCGACTGGTTATGGGCAACCTTGAAGTTGATCCCCCGCCTGATGTGCGCCTACATTGTAATGTTACTTCGAGTTTTTACCGTCTGTCACATTATTGTTTTCTGTGTTTTTCTACCCCAAGTCGTCGATATTCCGGCTGTATGCCGTACTGTACAGCGAGGAAAGTGCCGCGTGGCTCAAATTGGTGGGACTGTGCTTTTCGATTTCCCTTTTCCTTTCCCTCCCCTCGGAGGCATGTCCGGGACGCGTAGCCGGAATTCAGGAGGTTTCCTCTCCAAGTCACTCAGTCAGGGCGCTGGCGGCGGCGGCGCCGTCCGTGCCCCCCCCGGCGGGTGGAAAGAGAGGGGCGCCAGTGGATATCAAGGGGGCGCCACACCCCCCGCCGCACCGGTCGGCCGGGGCGGGGTTGATCCCAGCACGTGCCGGCACGCCTCTGTCACTCCCGGCCCTTCCCCTGCCCCTTCCCCTGCCCCGTCCCCTGCCCTGTCCCTGTCCGGTGCCGGCACACATGCGAGCGTATGAGTGTGTGTGTGTGTGTGTGTGTGTGTGTGTGTGTGTGTGTGCGCGCGGAGAGGAGCGGTCAACTCGTGCCACCGGCAGGTCTCGCTCCTTGGCCACGATATTTGAGCTGAACTCAGGGCCGGTATAGTGGGGGAGGGGGGAGGGGGCGATCGCCCAAATTCTCTCGTGTCTAGTGAGCTGCCTGAAAGGGAGACCATTTGTGCTACAAGACTCCTGTATATAGGCAACCGAGGGTTACATGGCACCCTGCGTCAGCCGGGCATTACACCCACCGCGCCTAGGCCTAGCCGGTCTGCCCCAAGAAAAACTTGTCTGTACTGTACCCTGTACCTAGCAAAGGGGTTGCGTCTGTCCGCCTCTCTCTCTCTCCCCCTCTCTCTCTCTCTCTCTCTGTCTGTCTGTCTGTCTGTCTGTCTGTCTGTCTGTCTGTCTGTCTGTCTGTCTGTCTGTCTGTCTGTCTGTCTGTCTGTCTGTCTCTCCCTGTCTCTCTCCCTCTCTCTCGCCCCCTCTCTGGCCCCCTCTCTGTCTCTCTCTGCGTGTGCGTGCGAGTGCGAAAACGGGTTGGGGGTGAAGGTAGGGTAGGGGCTACGGTAGGGTATAGAGCGTGGGACGGGCCCTGCATCATGCATGAACATGTGATGCCCTGGCTTCTCCCCCTTAGGCTCCAGCCAACACACGGTGGCGCAGAAATGAGGAGCCCCCTAATGTAATGGAAAATATTTCAGTTTAATTGTATTTTTACAAGTTTCTGCGCTCCCATTACAGCGCTTGATTTGTCGGAGCGGATGCCAGAGGGAGAGCAGGTTAAAAACACCGCACCGTCAGGTTGGCCGGCTTGACGCTCAGGTCGGTGGTGCCATCGCCGCTCACCCCTTGGAACTGTACCAAAACGATCTCGTAGGTGACGATGGTCCCCGCCACCTGGAGCAGAAAGCGCTTCAAGTCACCATGAGGAGCCCCAACAACACCGCGGTTACAGAGCGGCCAAGTGAGCACGCACCGTCAGCATCAGGGACCTGGTGACGGAGAAGAAGTTGCAGCCCGTCAGCGCCACGTCATCCGTGGTGACTTGGGCAAGAAATCTCCGGACCTGCAACAGTAGGCCTTGTTTTGTCATCTCCAGGCGCCCCAGGGGCCCGGCCTCCAGCGCGGGGTATCTCTCGCGTCACTCACTCACCTCGGTGCAGAAGCTCTCTGAAGGCACGGAGTAGAGCACCCGCCGAGGCTCCTTGCTCTCGTCGTGGATGGAGGCGGCGTACAGCGACACGACGCACGTCCTCAGCAACAGATAGCCGAACGAGAAGAAGAAGTAGACGTAAGGGTAGACGTCCAGGATGAGTCTGCGATAAAAGAAAAAGGTCGTGTGGTCTCACTCGTTCACCCGAAAGTGATGCTGAGCGGCATATGCAGGGAGCTCACTTCATGCCTTGCAGCAGCTGCACGCAAATGAAGTACAGGTTGCTGGCGAACGACAGCAGCACAATGTTGTTCACGGCCTCGTCCACCGTCCTGGTTAGGCACGCCAGAGAGTTGTACGTCTCGCGAAGCTGTCGCCACACGCCGCTCGGTAGGTTCTGGAGTCAGAGAAGCGCGCGAAGTCGGCGTGCGTAGAGCAAAAGCAGATCAGGGAGTCGGGGTGAAGAGGGGGAGGATGGATACGATGAAATGTAACCTTTCCCTTGAGGGCGCGCAGCCGGTGGTTGAGCTGCTTGAAGCGCTGCGCCAGCGACACGCTCAGCAACATGATGAACAGGTCAGTGTAGTTCCACGAGAAGGTGGCTACCACGTTGAGCAGGAAGACGAACACTGCCTTCCAGGGCGCGTACTCCGTCACCTGCAGCACCTGATGCATGCCCACGAGTCAGCGGCGCCGATCTTGAGGAGGGGCCGGATCCACAGACAGCAGCATCCTCACCATGGCGAAATTGTTGAGGCTGTAACCTCGCACCAGTCCGGGGAAGCCGCCGCTCTTGTAGCACGGCCAGGAGGTGTAGACCGCCGTCATGACGGCCAACAGGTGTTCGACTGCGAGAGACAAAAACAAAACTTTGCGCCCTCAGAAGAAACAGCCCAGTGCGGTAACCCTGCCCCCCGCAGCCATGCTGCACCCCAACCCCCAACCCCTCACCAGTCGCCAACAGCAGCACCACGGCCGTCATGATCTTGACCTTCCTGCCCAGGTGGCGCGGGTAGCCGTAGGTGCGCATGTCGTGCTCGATGCGCGCCCAGGCGCGAGCCACGGCCGGCCAACGCGTTGCCAGCTGCAGGAACAGCACCATGGCGGACAGCGAGTTGCCGAAGAAGACCACCGTGACTGCAAAGGCAGGGCATCGAGTCAGACACCATTCCGCGTCCCCCGCCGACGAGTGCAGCGGTGTCGTGGTCGTGGTTGGTGCGGCGTTGTGCCGACTGCCACTCCTACCTGAGCTGTTGAACGAGAGCCCCGAGCTCACCATGCGGTACGCGGCGAGCAGGGCGACCACGCCCGTGCCCAGGAACACGGCGATCGTGTAGAAGACGCGGAACGACAGCCACCGGAACTGGGGGACGCCGGGGTGGGTGCGCGAGATGCCGTCGACGGGCAGCAGAGCGAAGCACTGCGCCACCATGAGCGCGGGGCACATGGCGCCGTGGAAGGAGTCCCGGTGCGCCACGGGGGCGGCCTTGGAACCTTTGGGCCGTGGGCTGGACAAGCTCGACACCTGGCTCCCGCCCGGCCCCGTATCCACCCTGCGGAAGAGTGGCGCTCTAAGCACGGCCTCTTGTAGTGCATGTGGACGTCGGGGCGCGGCGGCCCAGACGCCTACCTGACGCGCAGGTGCTTGCGCACGTTGCCGCTGCTGCTGCTCGACGTGCTGGTCGTGCGCCGCTCGGAGCGCGCCGACATCCCCGCGGCGGACTGCTGCGCCTTGTAGTCCACGTTGTTGTTGGTCTTGGGGGCGCCGGCCCCGGCCGCCCCGCCGGCGCGCGGTCCTTTATCAAATTAAGCCGATTGTAATACAGCGGGGCCTAGTGGTGAAATAAAAAGAAAACACGCCCGGACACCACTACTGCCCCAAGGACGGCCAAATATAGCGGGGGTGGGGCGGGTCCGGCGTGCGGCGTGCCTCAGTGGCGTTGTGGTGGGTGTGGCAAGGGATTGCTTATCCGGAGGCGATAACGAGGTTTCTTCCCCGCCCCGCCCCGCCTGGCTGTGGCGCCGGTAGACGTTCATACATAAATGGATTGCGCCTTACGGTCCAGTGTGAGCAGCTGCAGGGTCCTCCTTTTGAGACGTCCGTGCGCGGGCCTGGCCCCGCCTCGCGAGGGCCCCAGCGGCCCCGCGGACTCCGCCGTCCCCGCGCGGGGCCTCTCCGTCATGGGGGAGGTGGGGAGGGCGGTGTGCGCCGGACACCCGCCGGCCGACAACCCCGACCCTGCAAGCAAAGCAGCGGCTCCCTGAGCCCTCCCGAGAACGAGACCGTCAAGAGCTCGACGAGCAGCAGCTCACCTCGGACGGGCAGAGCACGCCGTGCAACCGGGATGGCCGCATGCCCGCTCGAGTTGTTGGCCGACACCTGGAAAAGAGATGAGAAAAGTAGAGTGCGAGATTGAAGGGCGTCGATAAAGGTGAAGGGGGGGGGGTGCACCACTCCGATAGTGGTCGGAACCTTACCTTTAGTCAATTTACTTTGGCCATGACTTTTTCTGCTTTTTTCCCTTTTCAGAACTTTTCTTTTACTTTCTGTGCTTTTCTTAGCCTTTTCAACAGATGATACGTTAGTTTGTACTGTTGCAACGTTAAACGTTCGTCACTTAAAGCACAAGGCTGGTTGGGCGAGAAAAGTTTGATACGTTGTGAGAAGTTGCCGCAAGATCGGCCCCGCTCTCAGTGCAAAAGCGCAAAGTGAACTGTCTTATCACGTATTTGGTTCTGAGTCGGACGTGAGAGTTTAGTAAAAGTGGTGAAAGCTCACTTCTATTATGCATAACTGCTTCCACGTTCGCGCGTTTGACTTTTTGATACAATTCATTCGACTTGATTAATTTTCTACTTTGAACAAAGTTTTTTTTTTTTTTTGCTTTGGCATAGCGTTAGTTCATGGCCGTCGCGATTACCGCGATTTTGAAACATGTGGCTGCGACTCTTCATCTCGACTTTTTTTTTCCACATTTCTCCCTTTCTTTGACCTTTTGTGGCCTTTTTATCCGTGTTTTATTTTAAACCGCGTGCCTGTTTCTTTTAAAAGTGTCTTTTTTCCCGGGTAAGCCTCAACCGGGCCGAGCCTGCTAAGCGGAGGGTCCCACCCACCTGCACGAACCACAGCGGTCCGTAGTGCGCCCGATGGCCTCCCGAGGACGTCAGCGGTGAACCCAGCGTGCCAGTCGACGACTCCGGAGACGTCTTGGTGCAGCGCGGCCGCGTGGACGCCGGTGACACCAGCCCCCCGGCGGACATCCGGGCTGTGCTGCTCGGCCTGCTCGGCTACTGGGGCGCGGGCCGCGTGGGCGCTGACCGTGGAGCCGCGCCGCCCGCCATGGAGAGTGCCGGAGGGTCCTCCCGCGACTGGAGCGTGCCGGGGTCAGCCCCGCTGGACACTGGAGGCCACCTCCTTGCCACAAGCCTCGGGGCCCATGGGTCGTCCCCTGCTGCCGGGGCGCGATGAAAATTCATACCTCGTTTGGGAGCAAATTGAAAAGCTGTCACCTCCGTTTAGAGAGTTGTGGCCACGTGTCAGTCAACCAATGGGGGCATACCCGCGGCATCCTGGGGGGGTCAAATCCCTTTTTATTTTCCCGTCAAGGTAAAGTCCTACAGCTTAACCAGCTCGAATGGAAACATATAGTAAGTGCCCGGGGCCCGGGCTCTGCATTCAATTCGTAATGAATTTAGAAGTATGTGCCATTACCATGGGCAACAATCATGTCGGTACTCATTCAGAAAGGCAAAACGCACGAGGTTTTAACATGACCTATCTATGAACGCAACATTGAAATTAGACTCGTGCCAGAAAGCGAAGGCTGGCTGTACGGACGGAGGTGGGGTCGAGTCGTCCCATTCCAACCTGTCCATCCCGTCCCGACTAAATACTTGATTAATATGCGAGCCACGTGGGCGGCCGATAGAGCCGCGTTGTGCGCGGGGGCGGGGCGGGGTGGGGCGGGGCAGCCCAACCCTGCACCACCCACCACCCCACGCCCTCTCCCCACTCCACATACATGAGGAAGAGCTTGGGGGGGGGGGGGTGAATAGAGCACAAGCAAATTGTGGTGGTCGCCGTAACAGAGAAATTGCCGACCCTGTCGGGGTGGAGGCCGTTTGCGCTACACGTGGACCCACAGAAGAAAATAGCTTACCTGCGGCGTCCTGCTGAAGTGGTGCTGTGGCTACGGTTCGACACTATTCCCAGTACCAGTTCAAGGCGGGCGCGTCCCAACAGAGGGTTGCGAGGACACCGCGGGCGCAACTGTGCAGCAGCCGTGAATCCTCAGGATCCCGTCGTGCGGGTCGTCGCGGAATGGCGGTGCGGAGAGACTCTGCTCACGCCCGCTGGCCCAGCTCACCCTGTGGTGTGGCTGAGCCCCGACCCCAACCCCAGCCGCAGCACCGCCACCTGTAAACAAGTCAGGGGGTTGGGTGGCCGGGCCGACCGCTGAGGTCTGGAGGAGGGAGGCCGACGTCACGGCGGTGACGAGGAGTTGCCCCCGGAGTGGGGAGGCGGTGGCTGAGCTCTCGTCACATCTGTGAACCCGTCACGACCGAAGTGGAGCAATATTTTTTCTTTCAAATCATGCAGAACATGCCCATATGTACCCGATCAGGGCGGCGTGGTGATAAATCTTCACACGCGCCGTCCGGTCGGACGCGCCGAGGGGTGGCGGTCAGGGTGGCTGGGGGCAGGAGCTACAAGTGGCGGGGGCCGGGGGCTCGCCTGGGGCCTGGCCGGGAGCCTGGCCGGGGGGCCTGGCCGTGCCCGGCCGGGACAGGCTGAGCCCATCCGCCACCTTATTGAGTCCTGGCCGGGCCCTCTTCTCCAGGCGGGGCGGGGCGGATCGAGGCGGGCTCAGCTGATGGCTCCCTCGTGCCTCGTGCCGGGTCGGTGTCTCTCGGCGGGCGGCGCGTGGGGAGGGGCTGCTGAAGGGGTGAGGGTGCGCCGGGCTCTAGCTGGGCCGCGGCCTTGCTCGCAGTAGGGTAGCGGGGTGGAGCGAGCGGAGAGGGTAGGCGACAGACTGGCGACGTCGCTCTCCCCCAACCTAAATAATTGTCTACCCCTCGGCGTGTAGGACGGTCGCGTTCAAAGGAATGGTATTCAACGTATGGAGAGCAATTTAAGCAAATTAATACGCTCCCGGAAAAAAACTTCTGTGGTTTAATTTAAAAAAACAATCATAACAATCACAATTTGCATCAAATGTCATACAGTAGTTACAGTCGATCTATATTCTACACTTAAAGCTAAATTAATGATTAACCAAAGTCCTACATGTCTGGAAAATAATAGAAAAACAATAAAACTTCAAGGAGTTGACAAAATTCCTTTTTTTGGGCAGGATTTTCTTTTTTTTCTGTATTGATCATTAACATAACTTTGTAATGTATAAGTAAGCAATTCTTCTAAATGTTCTACGGTATCACAGGTACACTTTTCTTCATAACGTATATGGGGCTTGTAATCATGTTTGGACGTAAACATGTTCATGAAAGTGTCCTTTATAGCATGGTTAGTGCAGTACTTAAAATCTTCCTTATTCTAGTCTTTTCAAACATAATCAGAACAGTTTTAAAAAACTTAACGTATAAGCTGCAAGAGATCGAAACTTTCTTTTTAATATTTTTTTTCAAACAACTTAAAAAGTATTTTGTATAAGCAAATAAAAATAAAAATAAAAGAAATTTAGTACACGCATGTCTTTGATATAAGCAGGCTGTCCCAGAGCTCGCTTTAACTTTTTGACCCAGCGTATACACAGACCGCGCGAAGAGTAGCAGATCCCGCTTGGATCCGAACAACAACCATGTAGCCTAGGCGGGACCTGACGGCGAGTGCGGTGCTGATGGACCATCCAGAAAGTACGTCCGTCATTCGCCGTTACGAACTTACCAAGTTTAGCCTCTGCGAGCTCTCATAGCGCCTGATATATAGGCAACAAATCAACTGCAGTGCATGTGTGTACCGCTGGGTGGCCTATCCTGCGTCCAGCAGGCGCCCAGCTTCCCTAATTTTTCGAATTAATCTAAGAAAAACCGGACGCACTTTCTGGACGGTAAGTTGGCCTGAGCTCTGGGAGATGTAATTTTTCCCGTATAAATATTAATTTTGGTATAAAATGCATCTCTTGTGCTCTTAGTATGGCCATACTCCTTTCCGTATTGGACAGGCCAGCACGAGTGGAGAGTGCGCCAAGTGCCTTTCTGTCGGGTGCATATCGGCCGAATATCGGCCCAGCACCTCGGCGTCGTAGACATCGCCCTCGGCGTGTGTTGCTGGGGCGCTCTACTCGGTAAGCCAGATGTCGACGGGGATCTTCAGGAAGGCCTTGTTGAGGAAGCCCGTGAAGTGCCTGCTGATGCTGGCAGCCGCGGCTGGCTTCATCTCATCAATGATGACGTCAGCGTTTTCGTTGAGGAACCTGTTCATGGCTTCTCCTGCAACACACGTGGTCCGTCAGCGCGCGTCCAGGAGCACCCCGGACCCCGGCGGCGCGACCTGACCGCGCGCCCCCGCGACCGACCCAGAACTCTCGTACTTACCGAGCAGGTTGCTGCGGTTGATGACGTCCTTGATCTTGAACCTGGACTTGCCCAGGTTGAAGTCAGCCCCGATTGACTGGATCTTGAGGAACTTGATGCCATCTTGGAAGATCTCGTGGCCGTTGATGGTGGCGATCGACTTGATGTCGCCTAGAGCACAGAGACGCCAAATACTTCAAGGTGTGGTCTGGTGGGAAGTCGTTGTGGCGCATTTGCTCTAGGGGGAAACTTACTGAAAGCTGCCCAGAAGTCACCCTTGGAGCGCACCGGAAACAGCAGCACGTTTCCCGTCACCTCGTACTGGCCCTTCACCTCGATGCGCGGGATGGTAAGGTGGAGCTCGATCTTCCAGTGCGGCACGTCGGCCCTGCGAAGGAGGCAAATCTCACAACAAACGTTGCATGCCGCAGAACGGTACAATAGTCTTTATACGTCACGTCATGTTTATCGCGGCTACACACGTCCTCAATGAAGGACATTGCTCAGCGTTCATATGAAACTTTGCGGAGGAACTAAATGAGTTACAACGTGGCATGTAATAATTGCAATATTTTTCCACGCGCAATACTTTGGCTTACTACTCCTTACTTGACGTTGTTGATGCTATAGTTGCTCGCGCCGAAGGCGGTGACGTTGTTGAAGGCGGCGCGCACTCGCACCGGCCCGTGACCATTTTCCATGTACAGCTTGTTGATGGAGAGCGGCTCTACCGGCGGTACATCTATCTCGGGGATACCTAAATGTGGGCAGCACAATGAACAACAATCTCTCCCGAAATGTATGGATAAAGTAAAACGAGTCTCGTCCTTACCGCGTATGAGGTAGGGTCGAAGGTGGTTGAACAGCCTCTTGACGCAGTCGTTCAGTTTGGGGTCACTCCTGCTGCAGGGGAGGATGTATTCCGCTGTGACAGAAGAGAGATCAGCACGATTAGGTTTCAGGAATGCCCCAAGGCGCAGACTCAGCGCCGTGCGGTTAGGCAAACCTTCCATCACTTTCGCTTGAGTACCACTACGCACGCGCGCAACTGGCCTGTTGCCTGAACAATTTACCTTAACAAGACCCCTCAAAAATGTAATATAGACTGGAAATACCGTACCGCTATGCAGGGGAGGGGAACTAAGCATCGGCGTGGGGACAAGGACAGTTGCCAAGCCTAGAAGTCTGTGTAAATAAAGCATTCCGGTAAAGCTGAAATGCAGAAGAATGCGGGGAACAAGAAAACGGAAGTCACCATGTTCGAGCATAGCGATTTCCGTTTTCTTGTTCCCCGCATTCTTCTGCATTTCAGCTTTACCGGAATGGTTTATTGTCTTTCTTTTGTTTACATTCTGTTATTCCTACACATCTCATAATCCGCATTTTTGTAGTTTTGTTACCAGAGCATGGATGGACCGCGTTGTGCCGGGATCCCGAGGGAGAGAGGACAAGCATAGACCCTTTACGCGCTGCGTTGTGCTAAACCAGGGAATGGGAATGCACGGCGATAATGCCGTGTCAGATGGTTGCCTCACGCACGTGGCGGCTTTACTGCCAGCATTTCTGGTCGCCTTGCTGCTGGTCGTGCTGCCACCGCGGCGCGGTGCACAGCTGAAAAGGTTCCCCCTCCCACCCAGCATCCGTACCGAAGCAAACTGCCCAGGATAAATTGTGCAACAATGACTATGGACACATGGCGTCCAGGTGACCCAGTGGAGCCGCCGCGGCCCGGGCCGGGCCGGACCCTGCCCTGCGGCAGGACTTTGCTGTGCCACTGTTGTTGTGATTCGAACGTTTCAAAATCGGTAATGATGTAGCTGTCCAGCCGAGAACCCGCCGGACTTCACCCTCCCTCAGGCAGCCTTGGCAATGAGCTGTTTACCAACCGTGTTGACTTTCCGCAATGTCGTCTCAGGACTGCGGAGGACCAGCCAGGCGGCGGCGCCCGCGTCCCGACCCAGGTCCAGGCCTCAGGCAAAACAGACGGAATCGCTATCCTGGACCGGGTTCGGATCTCCGAGTCTTCTCATCGGCACGATCAGGTTAGACTGTGCTCCAGTTCAGATGTCCCTTTCAAGTCTTTTTGTGGTGTTTCGTTCCCCGGACTTCACGGTCCTCGGCCACTGTGTCACCACTCATATCGCAGGGCCTGGGGTTCGGTCTGGGTGACCCGGCCGGGTTAATCTTAAGGGGGCACCGCACCACGCCCGGGCTAACATCTCGTCGTCCTCCGGTCCCCAGAGTGACCCTGGAGAGCCAAGTTCCCATACAGACCAGGCAAAATCGTTGTGACCGCAAGCACCAGCCTTCACATTTGTTCTAGCAATGCCACCCCTCCCCGCCTAGCGGCCCCACCTCAACCCGCTCCTGCGGCCCGGCGAATGTTGCGAGCTTTATGCCCTCACATGAACGGGGTTTATGCCGGCCGGTACGGTCGGGGTTTTAATCTTTTAATTTACCGGTTACGATAATTGGGTCAAGTCGAGTAGCGTCATGGCGCATCCAGGGAGCTGGCAGGCTGGCGCGACGGACACCGGGCGGCGGTAGCAATCAGCTGTTTAGCGCCACGCTGCTGCCGGGGGGAGGG